TGCTGATGGGGTGGTGCAGGGCTTACAGGCCATTGAAAGGACTTTCACCTTGACTGTGTGAGAGGGGAGTGCCCAAGGGTTGGGCATAGGTGATGGACGTTATATAGCTTATGTTTTATGAGGACCATCTAACTGCAGTCTTACACAGAGACCAATAACCCAGTCAAGAGACAGTGATGGCTTGGATGAGAATGATAGCAGTGGAAGAGGTAAGAGCTGCCTAAATATGCATGTATCTTAAAGGTAGGGTTGACAGGACTTGATGGCAAATTAAATATAACGTGTGCAAGGGAAGACTCAAGGATGACTCTTAGGGTTTTGGTCTGAGTTAACTGGAAAGATGAAGATCCCGTTTACTAAGATGGGAGAGTTCGTTTGGGGGGGAAAAGTCAGAAGTTTAGTTTTGGACATGTGCACTGTGAGACCCTATCGAGCATCGAAGTGGGGATATTAAGTAGGCAGTTGGCTATATGGGTCAGGAATTCAGGCGAAATGTCCCTGATAAAGATACACATTTGGAGGCCATCAGCCCAAGGATTTAAACCAGCAACTTTCAACCGGTGTGCTGCAAGAACTTTTAAAACATGCAATACCCGACCTCTTTCCCCTTAGACCGTCAAATAAAAAATATGACAACAGCCAACACAACAATAGCCATCTGGTGTGAATAAATCAAAATTATACCTATATTTTTTATCAGATTGGCAAAAAATGTGCTATTTTTTGGTGTGTTGAGGAATTTCAGTAATTAGTTTATGTGTGCCATGAGATGAAAAAGGTTGAAATCCGCTGATTTAAATCCTGAAACTCGTGGAGGACACCTGGGAATAAGCATCAACAGAGAAGAGTTCCAATGACTGAGCCACAGCGCAGTCTAATGCTGAGAGGGAACCAGCAACGGAGTGAGATGGATCAGTTTCATGTTGTCTGCTTTTGTCGATGAGCTGCGATAAACCAGCACTATGTTAGGAGCTGGGCAAACAATCAATGAGACTGGCCCCTGCCATCAAGGAGCTCATACTCAATGCAGGAAAAGAGTCACCTGAATGCAGTGTGGTGACTGCAAAAGACGCACCTGGTAGGGTGGGACCAGGGAGACAGAACTCTTGGCCCAGGCTGGGAGGGCTACGAGGGTCTTTAGAAGACATAACACCTGTAGCTTAGAGTCACCAAAAGTGAGCTGAGTGACAAAGGAGAAAGGGCAGAAGGGCGAAATAGCCTGGAGCTTGCTGAGAAATACACACTTATTTGGTGCCGACATCTCTGCCTCTGAAAATAGCTCTGTCTCTAGTGAGATTAGGCCCTCAAGTGCTAAGAGACACTTTATACAAATGCAAACATAGATAACACAGCTGGAAAGTTAGTTACTCTGGCTTCACTGCTGCATCAGGTTGAAGAAGTCTGGGGTCAACTTGCCACCAACTTCAACGTCTTAAAATGCAGGGGAAGGGCAGGGCCCCTGCCACAGACCACACATCTGTAGCTGTGAAAGGGCAAAGTCTCCCCATCAGCAGTTAATTCTGGGTTGCAGCCGGGACCATATGGTGGTTCCATTCTTTATTTGCCTTTGTTTTCATTGTAAAGTGAGTGTGACAAGCACAGAGTGTTCCTAGCAACAAACGGACTGTGGGTGAGAGAGGAATTGCTCCTTGGGGAAGCTCCGGGACAGCCACTGGACGACGCCCCTTTCCATGTCAGAGAGCCAACTGCCACCAACGACCCGAAGCAAGCCGGGGGCGGCGGGGGGGCCTGGGGGGGAGAGCAGTTGGAAAAGCCCTATCCGGAGCTCGCTCTGACAGCAGGGTGTTTGTTAAGGCAAGAAGTGTCCAAGTCAAGTGCCCCCACACTGTGCATCTTTTTGTAAATATCAAGGTCTGCAGCCTCCCTTTCTCCAGCTCTGGGTGAACTCTGCCCCCAGACATGTACTTCCCAAAGCCATCAGCCTGCTGAGTTCTCTTTGTGTCCTTTACCATCGTGTTAATGCCCAGTGTCCTCCGACGTTTTCTTCATTCCTCCCCAACACAGCTGCCACCAGGTATCTACATTTATACCAGCCCACTCAGGTTACTCTTAAAGGAGCCAAATCTCACGACAGAGACAATAGGATATATTTCGGAAGCATCTGGAAAGGGCCGATCAATCCATGCTGCACCTGAGGCAAAGCTAGCGTAAAGCAAAGGCAGAGACAATACCCAAACCATACGCTACTATTATTACAACGGAAATTTCTTCTCTGCAAAAATAACAGTAGCTAACACACATGCTCACTGTGTGCCACACGCTGTTCTCAGCATTTTTATGTGTATTTAATCTTGACAACAACCCTGAAGCAGGTAATATTATTTTACAGATAAGGAAACTGAGGCCCAGAAAGATGAAGTAAGCTGAGTTTCCGCGGAGCTACTATTTGGCAGGTCTGGAGTTTTTGGCTACTCTTAAGCTCTGGCTATTCTGGGTTTTTAAGACCCAGGTGCTTTTCCAGGACTTACATTTAATATTGAAGATTTTTAGTGGAAGAAAGAATCTGGAGTATTTTAGTCCATTTCTATAGAACAAGTCAATACCACACATATTTAGCATAAGAAGTGGATTTGGAATATTTTAGAATATGATTTAAGTCATTTGGCTCTGTATACATTTTGATTTTCCCCCTGTTTTATTTAGGCCCAGGGTAGTATTTTATATGGAATCAAAATATTTATTTTTTATAGTGATTCACCACTTTATTATAATGGCTTTTAGCTATAAATAACAGAAAACCCAATTGGAGCTGCAATAATAACAAGAACCTTTATTGTGCCACTAACAGTAAATGCAAAGGTAAATGTGCACCCACGATCAGCCACATATCCAAGCTTACCTCAACGTTCCCAAGGAGAATGAGATCACTTTGCTTAGACCAATCTCCGTTCACCCCCTGAGCTCACAGACTAGCCATGCATGAGTTCCCCAGCAAAGAGGGTCAGCTGTGGGTGGACAGCCACTGTGGTCTCCCTCCCAGTAACTGCAGGGAGTAGGCTGGAGAATACAGTTGAGAATCAGTGCCAAGAAATAAAAGAATGATATTTTGAAGGCTCATCCTCCTTTTATTGAAATACTTAACTTTGCCGATCCGGTTTGGCTCAGTGGATAGAGCGTCGGCCTGCAGACTGAAGGGCCCTGGGTTCGATTCCGGTCAAGCACATGTACCTTGGTTGCGGGCACATCCCCAGTGGGGGGCGTGCAGGAGGCAGCTGATCAATCTCTCTCATCAATGTTTCTAACTCTCTGCCCCTCTACCTTCTTCTCTGTAAAAAAAAAATCAATAAAATATATATTAACACATTGTTTGCGGGTAGTTTTTATCGCGCGCTAACAGGTGGTGCGGGCCATTTTTGCTAATTTTTTGTGCAAATGGCAACGTTCAGTAAAATTACGATAACTTTAGTTTACGTATTTATACATTACCCGCATTCTATCGCTAGTCTATAAAAAACATATTAATACGTGTCCCGTGCTCTACTACACTGGTAGAACATATAAACACGTAAAACGTGTAAACACGTTTCCCGCATACAATGTGTTAAAAAAAAGAAAAGAAATACTTAACTTTTGTCTCAAGCCTGAGTTCTTTTGGTGGTGGCTGACAGACAGAAGGGAAGACAGGCAATGGACGGTGTAGAGCAGGGAAGACATATGAACTTAGAGGATTGGAACCCAGGTCTCCAGACAGTAATGGACAGTTCTTGAGCTCTCCCTCTATCTCAGGCTCTCACTGGTGCTCAGCAGTATTATTACCCACTTTCCTACATAATAAAACTGAGTCTCAGTGAGGAGAAGTTGGTGGGACTATGGCTTGACTCTCTACAGTCTGATTCTGGTGTCCTTGCTTTGACACTACACTGGTTTCTCTAGCTACAGTCTGGGGATTACCTGTATCAGGCTCACCTGGAGCACTTACTTGCAATGCAGATTCCCGGCTCCAGGCCAGGCCTCATTCAGCAAGCCATCTGTGCACAAGGCTCATGGGCAGGCAATTGAGCAGCATTCCCCATGCTAACGCTGAAGAACGGGTGGGTGATAATCTATTACTTCCCATCTGTGTTCGGACCTTGGACAAATCCTTATTTCCCCTTGGGCATCAATTGCCTCACTTGTAAAATCAGGATGGGTAGGTCACTTCCAGCTCAAAAACTGATTAGAATTCATCTTTAAACCCAACAACCTGACTACAGCCAGTCAACTGGCCCTTTTTCATGGATCTTCTTATCCTATATAATAACAGGCTAATATGCAAATTGACCGAACAGCAGAACGACCGGTCGCTATGATGCGCACTGACCACCAGGGGGCAGACGCTCAACACAGGAGCTGCCCCCTGGTGGTCAGTGCGCTCCCACGGGGGAGTGCCGCTCAGCCACAAGCTGTGCTCACAGCTGGCGAGTGCAGCAGTGGTGGTAGGAGCCTCTCCCGCCTCTGTGGCAGGGCTCAGGATGTCTGACTGGTGGCTTAGGCCCGAGGGCTCCCAGACTGTGAGAGGGCGCAGGCTGGGCTGAGGGACCCCCATGAGTGTTACATAATAATGTTATCAAAATGATATTTGAAGTGTCACAGAGTTTAAACTTTGATGCACAAATTTTCGTAGAGCTTCCCTAGAAATCTGGAAGAACTAGCTGTCCCTTCTTACAGCATATTGGAGGTTCCGGACCCTAAAGCCATGGGAGGGGACTGAACTTTTGTAGGTCTTCCCATTCTGTAACTTTTAGGCACTGCTGGGAAAGGAAATCATCGATAATTTTAATTTTCTTTCCCCTCTGAAATCACAGTGGACATCTTTCCGAGGTTTAAACCAGGGCATCCTACACCCGTCATTAGCTCCAGCCCATTTGGGTTTGCTTTGGTTTCAGTTTTCTGATTTTTTTTCTTTGGAGAAAGGAAAACAAGAGAGAGGGGCATTGGCCAAACAAGTCCGCCACTCAGTGGTGAGGTTTCCAGATAAGAAGGAGCTGAAGGACTTCCCATGGGCGTGAGGGAAATCGCGCACGCCATCCGGGAAGGGGACCAGGAAATCACTTCTTGTTTTTGAAACAACAGCAGGCTCTGCGGAATGGCTCTGTGAGGCTCGGAGCACAGGGCAGGGAGGCACCGGCAGGAGGGACACCGAGCTTGGCGGCAGCTGCCTGAGCCTCGCAATGAGTCCTGTTCGGCTCTTTCTTCAGCCGTGAGGCCTTCAAGGAGGCCGAAGGGCAAATGGCCTCCTAGTGGAAACCGGGAAGCGTTGAGGCGTCTTTTGCAGCAGGAGCGGGTCTGGGGACTTCAGTGCTGGCCAGGTAACAGGCACTTCTCCTCCTGGGGTCTGTTTCCCTTTGCAGCAAGACCTCAGCGACACTCCTCTTAAGGCATCTTCCATTTAAGAATCTCTTTGCCTAATTTTCTCTTTTGTAGGATATGTGCAGCTGTGGCATGTATGTTGGATATGTACAGCTGTGACATATATGTTGGATATGTAAAGCTGTGCCATGTACATTGGATATGTAAAGCTGTGGCGTGTATATTGGATATGTGCAGCTGTGGCATGTATGTATCATGCATAGCTATGGCATGTATGTTGGGAGTGTAAAGCATGTGTGATCAAGAGCATTGTGCAGCCTGTCGATTAAGTTGAGACTGTGCTTAGGGAGACTGAGTATCAGACAATTAGCTGGGATCGTTTTAGTATATTCTCGATAATGGAATTCTTTTCCCTGTCACCTTTTTTTGTCGTTGTTGTTAATAAATTTTCCTGTCTCTGCGCTAGAAAATACCATAAAGACCAGGGCATTAACGAATCAGTACTGAGCGTTTCCATGGCTGGGCAGCCATGCTGCAGTTGTGCTGACCAAGGCGATGGCTGCAGCCGTGTGTAGCCAGAGCACGGGGCATTCTGTCAGCTCAGGCCGGACAGGGTTGATCTCTGAAATGTTAAGAGTAAGCGTTACCTCCCACCCACTGACTGAGGGGACAGGAGTTTTCAGGCAGCCCTGGAAGGAAGACAGGCAGAGTGCTGGGATTAAGAGCTGGCAGACTTGACTGGAGCATTCGAGAAGGGAGGAAAAGTTCTCGGATGTGTGGTTGCTTGAACCTTTTTTTCTTGTACATTGTAGAAAGCCAGGCCATGCCACTACTGCAGCTCAGTTTTTCCTGACATGAAAGTTTTGGTCATTTTTTCTGAATTATACCCCTAATGCATGTATACTTGTACTGTGACAGAATATCTCCAACCCTTCAATATGCATTATTTCTTCCCGAATTAAATCACCAATAGTTTGCTGTGTACCTTACTAGTTAAATGACTTATTTTCTCTTTTCCTAACTCTTAGGACAAGCCAGGGCACACAGAAGTACAATAAATTTTCATTTTCAAATTCATGTATTGATCCTTAACAACATCTTCTTCCCACTGGAAATATAAAATAATACATGGGGAGTGTGGACAACTCTTTTAACATTTAAAAAAGTTTGAAAGAGTTTTAGTCATTTTTATCATTATTATTTTTGTGTTGGCTTTGGCTTTAGTAATTAAGGATATTAAAAATAACTTCCCATGGATTAAACTCTAGATTTGCAAACTTGAGGTTTAGGTTTTTCTCTTGAAGACTATCAAAGGCAGCCTTGTTCTGGCAATGAAAGGGGGAAAAAGAAAAGAGAGGAAAACTAACTGGGGAACAGAGAGACCCCTAGATTAAATGGTTGGCTCAGGGAATATAGGTGAGTGTGGGAGAGACTCATTTTTCATTTCATAGATAAGACCTGTGTTTAACAGGGGTTTATTTTTATCTCTTTCAGCCTTCTGTAAAAAAAAATAAAAAAATAAATGGTGGTCATTGATCCTTCTTTTCCCCCTTACATTGTTATGAGACAAGTGAATAAGAAAAGCAGTCACTGTTAACAAGCCCATGTAGCTCGTGGAAAGAAAGTACAAATAAGCTATGTCAAATCCACGAATAATTGCAAAATACTTTCAGTTGCTACTGGTATTTGGTATTTTCTTGTCCTTATCAAGGTTTCTCCACTCCAAATTCAAGGGTCATTGGCCCGGCTGATTTTGGAAATTGGTGCTGCCTTCTTGACCATCCAGCCTTGGTGCTTCTCCCCATCCCTGGCTAATAGGATTAATCACTTCTCCTTACTGCGTAGATCCAGCCCAGACTGAGACTTCCCCTTCTTTCACCACGTCACAGGTGAAGTAGTATCTTCTTCCCATTTTCATATATATATATATATATATATATATATATATATATATATATATACATTTCTTTATTGATTTCAGAGAGGAAGGGAGAAGGAGAGAGAGATAGAAACATCAATGATGAGAATCATTGATCGGCTGCCTCCTGCATGCCTCCTACTGGAGATCGAGCCTGCAACTCAGGCTTGTGCCCTTGGCCAGAATCAAACCTGCGACCCTTCAGTCCGAAGGCTGATGCTCTATCCACTGAGCCAAGTAGGCTAAGGCATGTTCCCATTTTATGGAATAAAAAAAGAGATGTTCAGAGGTTGTTTGCCCAGGAACATACAAGGAATCTTTCCGGAGCACTGAGATGAGAAGAAACCCAGATGTCTGGCTTTGGTCAGCGATATGAGGATAAATGTCAGGTGGGACAGAGAATTAAAGTGATAGAACTCTGGCAGCTTTGTAGCAACACGGACTCCAGTTTTGCTGGGAATCTGTAACTAGATCAAGCTATTGCCTAGTCCAGGTTTTAGCCAATTTTAACACCTGTTATCTAGTTGTATCTCTACAGGAACGTAACCCCCACCCCACCTCACCCGCCAAAAAGAACAATGCCCAGACACCTCCCAGGAGCAACTGAATCAGAATCTCTGGGGAAAGGGCATGGGCGTGGGAATGGAATTATTATGTATTTTACTCTCTGAAGCAATTCATTTACACAGCTGGGGTTGAGAACCCCCGAGTCCTAACTGTAGGAGAGAAAATGGCTAAACTGGGCAGCCGAAGCAATCCCCGTTCCTATGCCTGAAAGTTGGGCCAGAAGTGCCTGCTGTTGTGAGCCTCATGTAGAGGGTTCTGGTTGTTGCTGCTGCTGAGAGGAGCAGACACACCTCACAGCTGCCTGTGAGGGCGAGGAGTTTTCCAGCCTCCCCACCCCCACCCCCGGGGCCCTGCCTCGGGCGCGTTTAGATTGGAATAGCCCCGCCGACTTCACTGCGGATACTGTGACTCCTGTTACTTGCAGATTTTACAAAATCAGATGAAATGTTCTAGGTAAACAGGATGTGCTCTTCTAGTGCCAAGTGACCGTGGGAGGTTATAGATTTTACTCAGTGTCGCTTTAATACGTTTTGTCCTGATTCCAAGAAAAAGGGGAAAAGAAATACTAATTATGCTTTGCTGATCTGCCACTTTCTCTATTGACCTGAATATGGATAGACAATAAATCAAGGCTGCTTTTGAATCATGAAATGTGCTCCTAGAACCTCTCCGCCCCGACATTTCTTGATATAGTTCAAATTCATCGGTGTAATTGTTGCCTCCTCTATAGAGGCCCTGGGAGGTCCTTTTCCGCTTCTCTGAGTCCTGCCCTCCCCACCCCCCCAACCCCCCATGCCTGTGAGTTTGGGCACAGAATAGATGCTGCAAGAAAGGCTTGTTGGGTGAAAAGGATGTGTTGGCTGTGAGTACATTTTGAATTCACGAGCTAGTTACCAGCTCAGCATTTCAGCCCATATTGTATGACTCTGGTTGTGATGGTTAAAATAATTAGAATATTGCCTATTTCTTAAAGGTAATACAACAGTAAAACTTGTTAAATCACAGCATAGTGCAGGAATCTCCACGGGAGAGACTTGCTATAGAATTAAAAAGGCAAATAATCTTTTCCTTTAAGCTTATACTCTTAATGGGCGGCAAGGCTCAGGCATTGAAAAATTTAATAATAGGCAATAATTACTGAGTGTGCTCAGTGCTCAGTGCTCTATAAAGACGAACTCATTTGGTTATTCCAATCATCCTATACCTCAGCTGCTATTCTAATGCCTGTTTTTTAGATAAGGGGACACGATTCTAAGTAAGGTGAGGAGTTCAGATTTTGGCAGCAGACTCAGCTACTTACTGTGTGATCTGCATATGTTCTTTCATTTACCCAAACCTCAGCTTTTTCACCTGTAAAGTGGGGATGATGTAGCTTTAACAATGAAGGATTGGAAGAATTAAACGAGCTTAGTGCATGCACAGTGCTGAGCCTCATGCTTGACACAGAGCAAGGGCTTGACAAATGATAGTAATTATTGTTACTATGTAGGGTGAGGCTCAAAAAGGAGGAATAGAGCAGTCCAGTTGCCAAGAATAGTATAGAAGAAGCTGAGAGATAGCAACCCATTCAACCAATAGTTATTATTAATGCTTATGGCGTATTTTGCAAAGAAAGGTACAATATAAGCTTGTGAGCAGGTCAGCCTGCTCTGTATCCAAGTGCTATGGGAGGAACATGTGGCACATCTGGGTTTACATGAGGTTGTGGTGATCAGCTTGCCAGGTGAATTGGCTCAAATACTCTCTGGGCATTTGAGGTTTAATGTAGTATAGTAGCAATCTTTGAAAATAGTGCTGTACACAAATTAATCAGCCTGTGCTGTGATCGGTTACAGGGCAGAGAAGAAAGGTGGGAGGGGGCCCATTGAGGAGATTCCTGCAGTCATCCAGGTGTGAGATGACAATGTGCAAACCGATGTTGTGGCCGAGAGAAAGCAAACGTCAGCAGTGGAGTCATGAGTAAGACTTAGTGACTGGTTGACTTAGTGCCCCCACTCGTGCCCTTGATTCTTGTGTCTAAGGACACCTGTGAGCCAGGAAACTGGGAAGGAAGTCAGCCAATGGTAAATCTGAGCAGAGGTGGGTGAGCAGACAGCATCGGGAGAGAAGGAGGCGTGTTCAGTGCTCGATGAGTTGAATTTAGATTTAGTTGGAAATAGCCCATTTGGAGAGAAGCTCCTGCTATTTAGCCAAGAGATCAGGGTGGAAATACAGTTTTGGGAATTGCCACATAAATGGATAATTAAAATGGTGGAAGTGGACAAGCTTCCTAAGAGAAAGGGTGTCGGGAGAGATAAGCCGCGGATCCAGGAGAGGCTTTGACAGGTCCACAGTGAAGCACGGGTAGAATGAGAAGGACAGAATCACAGAAGGAGGAGGGAAAGTTGCAAAAAGTGGAGCGATGAGACTCAGGGGAGGAAAAGGGGTCACCGGGAAGGAGGAGGCTCTACCTGGTGTCAGAAACCAATCAGTAACCAAGGAGTATGAGGACTAGTGAAGAATGCTATTGGGTTC